GGCTGAGCCTTAGCATTTTGAAAATTCCAAATTTTGTTATACACTTAAGAAATTGAGACTAAGTAAATTTCGTGTAACAATATTTTTTTCATAAAATATTTTTACAACATATCAGTATATTGGTTTATTATTATTTGTGTTATTTATTTCCTTTTTTTTATTAATAGATAAAAGTCTTTACAATAAAAAAGTTTAACGAACATATTTTATTAAAAGAAAATCATCCCCAAATATGGTAATGTAATTCCAAAATATTGTAACACGAAAATTATTATTGCATTTCTGAGCATAACTCTCGAATTTAAAAAATCTATGAAAAGAAAATTTGAGACAAAATTTTTTTTTACATGAATTGACTTCCTTTTTAATGCTGAATTGAATGGTGGTAGTTTTTTTAAAATCCGACATGTGGATCACATAATATTTCAAATTTTTTAACTTTTGAGTATAGATGATCCGCACTGTACATTTATTTATTCCTTATATTTTCATTTCTTTATTTTATTTTTATTCATTTCTTTATTTACATTTTTACTATTTTTATTTTTATTTGTATAATGTCAAAATTAGTTGACTTTATTGCAGTTAGAATGCTAGATTGCAATGAAGTTGTTACTAATTAATTTAATTGTATATAAGAAGCTCAAATTTGGCATACTTGTAAAGAACATTGTAATAAAAAAATTAACTTAGAATAAATTAATAAATTAGTTTGACTGAATAAAACAATTACTAAACCAAAATTATTTGCTAATAAAACTAATTCATTAGTAATAGCCAATTAATTCTGATCCACATAATCATAAAGTTTATATTGTTATCATCAATGTTCTCCAAATAATAATTGGTGACACTATTCATTATTCATAATTGAATGATTGATAAACAAATAAGTAAAAAAGTTTTTTTCTCAATATTTATGAATTGATTGTTTATTAGATTATTATAATAATTAATGAATGAAAGAAACTAGTTAGAATTATAATTAAGAAATTATGCTACGAATAGAAGCATTGTTTTAATTAATAGCTTGCAATTTCAGCTGCTTGTTTTTTGTGATGTTGATTAAATCTAGATATCCAAGATTTAATTTGTTGGAGAGAAGGAATATTATCAGCTTCTATTTCATTATTTTCAGCATGCATTTGAAGATTTTTGAGCATATCATCAGGTGAAAATTTATTATTTTTTTCTTTATTACCAGCCAGGAACATTTCCTTTAACTTTTCAATTACTTTTAAATCAAGTTTTTTACCACCCTTTTTTCCAAATTTTTGTTTACTTCTCAAAGCAAATCCAGGTATTAGTTTCTCATTTAACAAATTTTTTAAATTAGTATCATCATTATCATTTGTCAACAAAGAATAATTTATTTTATCATAATTACTAAATAAGTCTAATCTTTCTTTAATAATTAATTTATTTCCAGAGAAATCTAAGTCTTTTTCTTTAAGTTTTGATCTTGCTTCAGCAACTGTTAATTTTTGAATAGATGGATCAATTTGTGAAGGTATACTCATTTTCCATTCCATTTGAGGTGTTGTTTGATCAATTTCTATTGAATCTGGTTGTTTCATATCATTATTTTTGAGAAGCTTCTTAATATTAGAAATTGAATATATTTTTGGTGGTCCATAATGAGGTATCTCATAAGCTTCTATAGTTCCTTTTTTCTCGCCAGTTGGCCACATGAAAGTAAAATAATTAGAAATTCCTGGAATGGTACCAACTGCTATTTTTTTACTACAATCTGGAACTAATTTGGCAAATGATGTTCCTGCAAGAGATTTATTAGAATTTGCTATGTCTTCTCCTGTAGAAATGCTATTTCCTAGTCTTGTATATCTAATGAACCCATGTGACAGCTTAGCATGGTGAGAATCTACAATGGTTTTAGCTTCTCCTGGTTCCAAAAATTGCCAACTAGTCACATTCAAATTGTACCATTTTTTCCAATAACTAACAATCACCATCAATTCAGAATTATGGTAATGACCGCCATTGTCAGAAAATATTCTTATCCATTCAATGTTTTCTCCTAATTTTGGTAATACTGCATCAAATGCAGATGCAGTAAAATAAGCATCCTGTTTGCCATCATCAGACCAATGGTCAAATGCTCTCACAATTAATTCACTATTCACATTTGATTTAGTTATCACTAGGATTGTATGTAGTGTCCAGCCTTCTTTTCCAAAAAATTCTTGTTTAGTTTCTCGAGAGCTTTTAGGATTTACTTTCATTTTATAATCACAAATTAAAACTGCACCATTATGAGTTAATTCACATAATGCAGCATTGAACTGTGTATTTAAATATATTTTACGTAATTGATGAGACAGATAATATAAAATTTTATCCAGATATTCTTCATATTGTTCCATGTCAATTAGGGAAATTTCTTTAATTACATTTAATAACAAAAATAATGATGTACAGTCTTTACAAAAAAAATCATGTTTTTCTTTACATTCTCCAAAAGCATAAAGGAGACAATGATTCAGGCATGAAATATGTTGAAGGTGCCCATTACTTAAAACTTTAATTTCTTCATCTAAACCACGTTTTAAATGATGTTTAAGTAATTCTATTTTATCAATCAAATGATTTTTTTCTGTTGAATATAAATTTGAGGCATTGATTGATTCAATTAATGAATCAAATACTTGATAACCATAAAAATCACAGATTATACATAAGCCACCTAAATCCTCTTTATATTTAAACTGACCATCTAACTGACACATAAAACTTGTTCTTTTTAATCCACTAGGATACTCTTCATGATATTTTTCCCACATTTCTTTTTTTGTTGCCTTTAAATATAAAATTGGGTTTCCTGTTGATGGGTCAGTTTTATAAGAACTCATAGAAACATTATTTTTATCATGAAGAAAAGTTTCTAAATCATTTAATTGATCATCAGAAAAATTGTTTCTAGTTATCTTTACACAATCTTCTTGTGAAATTGGTGCACCTTCTCCATAAATTCGTGCATGTTTTCTAGCAGCAGTGATTAAGTCATTGCTAATGTTAAGACAATTTTTTAATTCTGAATAACTGAATTTTTCAGCAATTATTGACAATATCCTTTGTTGCCCATCAGGCCCTCTTTTATTAGAACTCATAGCATTTTCAAAACTTTTCCAAAAAACTTTTGTGCTAGAATCTAATTCTTTATTTAAATTTGGTTGTGTATTTAACTCTGAATTTGATCCAACTTCAGAAAAAAGCTCTAATATTTCTAAATCAGCTGCAATGTCATCAGCTTTGGACCAGTATTCATTGTCTTCATTAACTTTTATTTGCTTGCAACCTGAAGCTTTCAGTAATTGTCTCCATGATCTTATTTTTCTTAAAATTGTTTCATCAAAATTTGAGTCATTTTTTTTAATAATATTAAATTTATATAATAAGTTATTAAACTCAAATAGAGTTGATTTTTTGTTAGAGAGATAAATTAAAACTGACAATGTAAAATCTTTTCTGTAAAAATGTTTCATATATGTTGAATGGAGTTTATCAAAAACTATTGGGTCCCATTCACTACAACTTACTTGAAAAATTGTTTTTTCAATAATTTGTTTCATTTCTGTATTGTCTAATAAGAATAATTGTCTACCAGGATATTTTTGAAATAATCCAATTGATTTCCACAACACATTTACATCAGAATTTTGATATTCATTTAGTAATTCGCCAGTTTTTATTGAATATAAATTTACATGGAATAGATTATTGCTGTAAAATTGTGAAAATATAACAAATTCATGCCTAAACCTTTCTACAAATGTAATATGATATCCATCAGAAGGGCCTGTTTCATCATATGAAGCATTAATTACAAGCATTTTAAACTTATCTACTTTGATAATGAAAGGGAAAAAGGTAACATCTAAAGATATCCTATTTAGCTGATCATTATTAGCCATTCCAAAAAATATTGATCCTTTCAACCTTGATTTATTTTGACGGTTTATGCTTTGAAGATATTGACCATAAACAGTATTAACAGAATTTGTCATATCATTTGAATTTACAATAAATTCATTAATAGAAGATTGAAATACAGGTGAAGCATCATGTCCTTGGTAAACATAAGTATATATTGTTATTTTGTTATATATATGGCACATTCTTAAATTTAGTCTAATTGGGTATAATTTTTTTTTGTTTGAAGATGTGTCAATTGCTTCATGCCACCAACATGAAGCAAATAAGCCATAATGTAAATCTTTTTTAATATAATGTAAGTTTTTAAATAATTTTTATAAAACTTTTTATTTAAAAAAAAATAATTTTTGTTATATTTATTACAGATAAAAATATACTTGTTTACTAAAATTTCAAATTTGAAAGAAACTATTTTAAAACTCCGAATTACTTTCGAAAATTTGAAACTCCGGTTTGTTTTTCAATTTATTATTATTAAAACTCCGAAATTCCGAAACTATTTCAAAAATTTGAGACTCCGATATTATTTTTAAAACTTCAAACTATTTCAAAACTCCAAAAATTTGAAACTCTGGTTTGTTTTCAATTTATTATTATTAAAACTCCGAAATTCCGAAACTATTTCAAAAATTTGAGACTCCAATATTATTTTTAAAACTTCAAACTCCGAATTACTTTCAAAAATTTGAAACTCCGATACTGTTTTTAAACTTTAAACAACTAAAACTATGAAATTGGTTTTAAATCCCGAAACTCTTTTAAAATTTCAAATCTCCAAAACTTAAAAAAGAAAAATAACAGATATCATGAGTAATTAATGTAAGAAAGAGTTCGATTAAATCTTTTTCAAAAACACTTTGCAAAAAAAAATTAAAAAAATTTTTCAATTATTTTTATTTTTAAATTTTTAAAAATTTAACACGTGATGGGGATGTGGTGGAGATTTTTGCAGATCATTCTATAAGATATTTCCTCTGTTTTTTATTAATAAAAAGATCGACATTTCACCGATTCATAGACGGATCGTCAATTAAACTTTATTGTTAATCAAAAAAGGTAAAAATCACAATGTACAAATTTGTTAAAAAAAAAATGAATTAACTAAAACAAAAAGACAAATAAAATAATCAAATTTTTCCATTGCTGTTTGTCACATTCATTGCTGATTTTAACCTGTTACTCCTCTTGATCTTTTGGAGCTTGTCTTGAGTCCCATTACCACCCAAATTTTCTTCAGGTTCTGCTTCTGTTTCCAAACCCAGTTCAGGATGATATGTGACACCCTCCTCTTCAATGTTAATTGGAGATTTTTGATGCTCTCCACTTGTTTTGGCAGGTCTTTTGGCCTGAGATCTGTTTTCATAATTCATCAGGTCCTGGTTGCACTTTTTCCTACCACCAGCTCCTGGACTTGACAATGATGTGTCAGCAGCATTTGCTGAGTAAACATTGTTCCACTCAATTTCAGAAGTGATAATTTGTACCATGTTCTTGCCTTTGTAAAATTCACCACAGATGGAGAAGATTGCTGTGGATTTGGTTGCCTTAGTGACACCAGCATGTCTGGTGCTGCCAGCATTGTACGAACATGCAAACTCGGCTGTCAGGTAGTTGGCAGTCAAGGGGTTGTAGGTCCTTTGTTCCAAGGTGAAGTATGAAGTGGAGCCCTTGTTGATTTCTGATGACTTGCATAAAGCCAAATAGTTTCCAAAGGGTGGACAAGGTGGAAGATCATATATCGATGGTAGCTCATCAATCATTTTCAAATTCAAAGATATTGCAAGCTGAGGCTTTTCCAGGACAAACTTTCCAGTAATCAACATGATCATATTTGGCTCGATCCTGTGGATCATGTGTTGGTTCTTGTCGGACATGAATGCTTTATAGTTGTAGTCGACAAATTCATTTTCATCATACCATAGGTCACAACTCCAGTCAAAGCAGAGGTGCCAGAGACTGTCTTGATGAAAGAGATAGCACTGAATATTGATGTCTTTTTTTTTTTTTTGGTAAAAAGTATATATGAGGATTGGAAAAGAGAGATTATTTAAATGTACTCAGTTAATCAGATAAAAGATCAAGTTTGTTTTTTTTACTTGTG